ATGCCTGGCGAACGTTCGCCAGGGCTGGCGAAAGATCATATTGGAACAGCATGGCGAAGCAAAAGCGCGAGAGCTGTTTGAATACCATTTTCTTGCTTTCAAATTATAAATTAGTAACATATTTGTGTATGGTATGATATAGGAATCACATTGAAATTCTAAAATATCTTAAAATCATAATTTATTATGAAATAACGTATATACGTATTTTTTCAAGACCTTCGATGTTCCAGTCGAGAGCTCAAGACATTAGCTGTATTCCTACCCCCTACCCCAACCCCCCCACCCCCGAGATGGCTTATTTAGATTTAGGTTGTTTTTATTTGGTTGTAAGGATAATGTTCTTTTCGCAAATGGTACCAGAAGTATTTTGATGGTGGCATGTTTACTTTTGGCTATAGAAACATAGCTGTAGTGCTCCACCGCCTTATAATGCGTTTCTAATGATACCCTTGTAGGCCTTCAGTTCAATATCTTATATCAGTTAGGAATAGTAAAATAGTAATTTTTTAACTCTTTTGTTAAAGTATAAAGTCATTTTTTGTATAAAAGTATAAAGTTGATATAGTATAGTATAAAGTACTTTGAAAACCTTTCGCCAATGCTGGCGTTCACCTGGCGAAGCTTCGCCAGGCGAACATCTGAGTGAGGGAGGCCTTACTTTTAAAACCAAGGCAGGTGTTCGCCAGGCCTGGAGAACGAAAGGGATCGCCAGGCGCTAACATCTTGGATTCCTGCTAAATCTAGCGCTTCGGCGAATGAAAAAAAAAAAAAACGCGAAATACATATTTGTTACATCTGCAGTGTGTTATATAAACATATAAGTAAATATATATTGTTGGCACATAGCAGGGATTTTATTTTGTATATTACCTTACCTTACTTTCCTTATATCATATATATTACCTTACCTAACATGATCTAAGCTTAATTATTAACCTCGTGAGACGATAATATTATATCCATAATAGCCTCACTTTATACAAAGGAGTTGAAAATTATTAATTTTACTATACCTAACCGATATAAAATAGTTAACTGTTGGGATACAAGGATTAAAGTAGGTTAGACACGCCTCATTATAGAGCGGTGGAGCACTACAGCCATATTTCTATAGCCCGTAGCAAACATGCCATCGTCAAAACACTTTTGGTAACATTTGTGAAAGGAAAATTATCCTTACAACCAAAATAACAACCTAAATTTAAATATGTCATCTCGGAGGTGGGGGTAGGGGTAGGGGGGTAGGAATACAGCTGATGTCTTGAGCTCTCAGCTGGAACATCGAAGGTCTTGAAAAAAAACTATATACGTTATTTCATAATAAATTATGATTTTAAGATATTTTAGAATTATAATGTGATTCCTACATCATATCATACATAAATATGTTACTACTTTATAATTTGAAAGCAAGAGAATGGTATTTAAGCACGGGAAAGGGAGGGCTCTCGCGGCTTTGCTTCGCCAGGCTGTTCCAATACGATCGTTCGCCAGCCTTGGCGAAAGTTAGCCTGGCGAACTTTTAATAGTACGAAATTCCCGATCGCCCGGCGAAACCTTTCGCCAGAACTAGCAAAAGGTTTTAAAAGTACGGGCCTTAAAGTTAACCTTGTTATAGTATAAAGTGTAGTATAGCATAAAGTATAAAGTTAATTTTGTTATAGTATAAAGTTATTTTCAACTTGTTTGTTATAGCATAAAGTTAAATTTTAACTCCTTTGTTATAGTATAAAGTGAAACTATTGCGGAAAGAATTTTCGTCTTCTCTCGAGTTAATAATCAAGTTTAGGTTATGTTATGTGCACTGCAGATGTAAACAAATTTGCGCTAGATTTAGCGGGAATGCAAGATGTTAGCGCCTGGCGATCCCTTCGCCCGCCCTGGCGAACGTTGGGTTTAAAAGTAAGGCCTCCCTCACTCAGAGGTTCGCCTGGCGTAGCTTCGCCAGGCGAACGCCAGCACTGGCGAAGGTTGTAAAAGTACGGGCCCTAGTCCTCGGACAGGGAGCGGGTGAGGTGCCTCAGGCCCTCCAGTGTTCCGCAATCTACCCAAAGCTGTCGTATAACAGTCGTGATCCAAAAAGACAGGAAATTGGATAGTGTCATTTGCAAGAAGAATTTCTGGAAACCGCTCCCTGCACTGACCTTCGCCTCGTGAGCGGGGTTCAGGTCACCTCCCCAGGTGTCAGCATGGCTGGAGTTGCCATACCGGGGTCCAGCAATTATGACATGGAAACTGAAAGTGAATGTGCACGAGTGAAAGGGAATATGGAAAGTGGTTCCCATAAGAAGGAAAGGAACGACGAAAGCGCAAGTGAGATGAGTGATACTGAGAATAGGTGTGAGCAGGGATAAAAGAGGAAAAAAGAATATGAAAGCAAGGAAGGAAGTCAGAATAAAGGTGTGAACGGCAAGAAGAGGCTGCTATTCCCACAGAACTGTGCCATGGACTTCATGGAGAAATTAAGATGGGCCATGCAGCTGGGCCGGGACCACCGTGGTTTTGAGCCGCTGCTAAAGGAACGCAGAGGAAGGCCGTACCTCACGGTACGCGCAGGTCCGGCAGAACAAACCCTGACGACTCAAGGGTACAAGGGGACGGTGATGAATGTCCCAAAGGGTGGGGAAAAACTCACGAAAGTGATAATTTTCAAATGCCCTATTGTACTGGACCCTGGATACCTCCTGGACGACGAAAGGTTTGTGTGGGTGAAGAGGAACGAGTCCAGGGGTGAGGAGCAGAGTCAGCTCGTAGCCCTCGTGAAAGGGGAAGTACCAGAGAGGATCATCTCTGGAGCGGGGTACAGGAGCGTGGCACCGTACGTGGAGCCGCCAGTCATGTGCGTCAAATGTTGCAGATGGGGCTACAAATCGTGGAAATGCCAACAGGACGCCCGATGTAGGTTCTGCGGCAAGAAACACGATTTCAGGATCTGCCGGGCCAAAATAGAAAAGGAAGACAGGATTAAGCCTTGCTGCTGCAATTGCGGAGGCCCGCACAATGCCGGATCTCTGGCATGCAGAGCGAGGCCTCAGTGGAAGGTAACTTCGGCCGTTCTCCACCAAGCAGTCGCAGAGGAGGCACCGAGGGAGGAAGGGCCGGTCACTATGCAGGCAGAGGTGCCGAGGGAGACAGCAGCTCCTGTCCCGAACGCCTGGCTGCAGGGCCCACCGGCCGTGGTGCCTAAAGAAGATAAGCGACCGCAGGAGCAACATCAGGCGCAGGAAGTGCCGCGCAATAATGATGGGGAGACAATATCCGCACTCACGCAGATGATGCAGGCCATGATTAAGAGGATGGACGCATTAGAAAAACGGCTTGCAGAAAAGGAACAAAAAAAGGAAGAGGATACCGAGAAAGAAATGAATAGTGAAAATATTAGTGACTTGCAAGGCAAAAAAAAAAAAAAAATAGAAAGAAAAAATTACCATTAAGGGTAAAGAAAGGACAATAAAATCAAGCATTACTGGAGGAACATCCTCTGAGGTCTTCCGGTCAGTCCTCCTAAAATGTAAGGATCCGGAGAAAAAAAAACTGAAAAAATGGGAAATTATGCAAGAGCTATGGGGAACTATTCAAAAAATAGTAGAAAAGCATAAGGACACAATCAAAACCTGCTGGAGCGTAGTATTAGAATATCGTGGAATGTAAGTAGTTTACTTACCAGAGTTACAGACGTTCACTACTTTGTATTGAAAAACAATATTGACGTAGTTTGTCTCCAGGAAACCAGGGACACGAAAGGTGATACTCTCAAACTTAATGGTTATAAAGCGTACCACCTTCATGCCGGTGACCGAATACGGGGAGTGTCAAATTATGTCAAAAGCTCAATACCCTCTGAACTAACAGAGACGCCGTGCAGAACTAACGGCAAAGAAAGTGTGTGTGTGAAGCTTCATTTGCAACAAGGTGAAATGTATATTGTCAACTTATACATCTCTGGGAGCTCCTTTGACCTCAGATATTTACCTGACTGCATGTACTCTGACTCTGCTCTGATAGTGGGTGACTTGGATGCTAGACACCCGCAATTAGAGGAGAGGGGCAATATCGATGATAACGGTAAGAGGTTTTACCAGTTTTTAAAGGATAGGCCTGATGCATGCTTGCTGGGTGGCAAAGAGGCAACACACATCAAGGGTGGACGGCTTTATTACACCTGCCTGCTTGGCAGACAGGCGATTCAAGGAGAGAAGTAATGTGGTAAGTGAACTACTCAGTGATCATTTCGCGTTGTATGTTAAGTTAGCTGTAGGGAAAATACAAGTTAAATTTCAGAGAAAACGGCTTTCACTTAATGTAAAGGACAGAGGCCAGTTTCTTTACAACATAGAGAATTGGTATAAACACTATACAACCATATGTTTAGATAGGTTCAACCGGGATTTGTTGAGTGCGATAGAAAGATGTTTACCCACAACACCCAAGACACACAGAAAGGAAAAGGGTTATGGGGGAAGGAAAAACAGGTACTGCAGTGATAAGACACTTAAGGAATGGACATCCATGCTAAGGT